GGGTGTTTGATAGGCTATCTTTCCTCCTTCTCCATACCAGCAGGCGCATCAAAATTTCATTTCGAACAAGAAGTAATCGTCGGAGGGGTCAAAACTAGTAGGCTATTCCCAAACGGGACCCAGATTCTTAACCCTGGAAGCACGCAAACCATAAGGGCGTGAGCCAGGCTACCCGGGAAGAGCGCACCCCCTATGTATATGGCTGACCTACTTTGCCCGGGAAGCGCGCAGGCCCTTTATAAATGGCATAGACGCTGACCTTTTTCAATGGAAAATTCCAGTATTCCTTAATATGGAAAATGACATAGTCAATTACTGTATTACAGGCCAAAGTTATAAATAGTAATAGTGACCAATGACTTTGTAAGTTATCTTGACCTCGTAGAGCGTCTTTTGGCCGAGATATCGGTCGAAAAAGAGACACGGTCCCGCTGAGCGACTACACGCTATGAGTTATCACTTGTTTCGCAGTGCTGATGTACTAATTGTTGAGTCTATCGCGTTCTGGGCTTTGTTTGTATTTATTTGATCGCTGATCAGTTCTGAATGGCTCATTGAATTCTATCAGCTTCAAGAAAATATTTGCTTTTATATGCTTTTTATCATCTGTTGAGCCGTAAATGGTCATTTTTCAATAGCAGGTGTGTATACATTTCTGATTTCGGGTCTCACTCAGCTGATGTTTACAACTGATCGGTCGTGGCGGCGGGACATTTTTGGTGGGTTACTTCCAGTGAAACGCTGAGCGTTTCTAGGGTTAAGTAGATTTATCTAGTACTGAATCTTGATATCTAGATCTAGATCTAGAATCGCAAATCTTCATCCCAGCCAAATGTCAACAATGAAAGAGAGGAAACGAACTGATGCAGATGGCATCGGAATCAGCAACAAAAACATCAAATCCAAGTTGCAATTTAGAATCAAGCCATCGCTGGTAGAACGACCTGGAGGCAGAAGACATTTAGATCTACATTTCTAGTTCTTTTATCATAGAGACACTGCACAAGTTTCAGACAATGCTTTTAATTTCAATCATACCTTGATATCAATGTCAAGAAAACCACCCTCGGCGACCTCAAACATGAGACTCATCTTCGTTCCCGACGTGACTTTATCGTGGAAACACTCCTCTGCATGAGCATCAATGCTGATGAAATATGCTCTGGAAATTCCACAAAACGCAAGTAAAAGTGCTAAGGGGTAGAAGAGTATGAGATTCATTGTAAATTATGTTGCTCTGTCTGTGTAATGACAACTTGAAACTTGTTGGCAAGCAGTCGGCAACATCCAACAATGCCACGTACGGTTACACAGCAAATGCGCATGTGCATCATTGCCTTCGTTTCCGTTTCCGGCGGCTAATACACCTTTGATATTATTGGATTGGATTAAGTTTTCTATTGAATAAAATATTTTCTCCTCTCTCATTCTGCTAAATTACCAGTACATATTACTACTATTCTTTCTGTGCAATATCAATTTATCAGCTAAACTTATATAATATAATATGCATACTTCATCTATCAGGAAAACATAATGAACTGGATTTAATGTGAACCATGTTTCAAGTCTCTTCCATTTCTTCGAAGTAGGGGAAGCTACGCATAAAATATGATGTCTTTATACATTATGTACTTTATAACTTGCAAAATTATCTCCCTTGTAGAATGAAGTCGATCATGCAAAAAGTTAGTAATTTAGTGTTATTGTTGTTTGTTTGTTGCTTTGTTATTATTGCTTGTTTGTTGCTTTGTTATTGCTGTTTGTTTGTTGGTTTGGTTTGGTTTGGTTTTTGCTTTGTTTTGTTTAGTTTGTTCCTTTTTTTTCTTTTTTTCTTTTTTTTTTTTTTTTTTTGGGGGGGGGGGTAGAATGTACATAGATCTACTTCAAATGATTCAATTTAGACAAGACAGCGACTTGTTAGACACCATGAGCCAGAACAAAGATTCCACCGTTCAACCATAGAAACTATGATCAATTTCTGCATTTATATAGTCTAGTATGGGCCGGGAACACAAGATAAAGAAATTTTGAATCGATTAATACAGAAAGCATGCACTTTTTTGTTCATATTTTCCTCCACACTGAAGTTTTGCGTTTCAGATATGTAGCTTACACAATATTTGGAAGTCAAAAGGAATTTCTCTGATATTCATTTTAGATAACGCCACAGAATACGTTTGCTCTACATAGCGCGTTAAAAAAAAACCCAACCCATTTTCACCTATGTCCCCATTTATTCTGCAGCATGACGCTCTCGTTCGCATTAGGCATACACCACTAAAAATCCCAACGATTGCACCATATTGCAAACTACAGTAGTCTCACAGATCAACAGAAGTTTGCAGATAGTTTTTCTAAAGTTTCCTTCGCCTGCTAAGATCATAGTTCAGATTAATAAAGAGCAGAGAGCTTTTTGTATTGAACATTTTCTCACCACCAACTCATTTCGTAAGTTTCGCACAAGGTACGGAAATAATGTTAAAATGCCCTTAAGGCATTCTTTGATGTCAAGCGTGGAAATGGTCCATCAGTTAGGACCTGTAGAGAATCAGAACTAAAAATTCTTAGACATAACGACCACTTCAGGTCAAACACATACCGTTTGTACCCCTATACTGCCGTCAGCTGACAAAACGCCTTTTTTTTGTCCAGAGCAGTTTCGAGAAATCAACGATTTTCGGGTTTCTTACAATATCTCAACTACTTTGCACAGTACATCAACGTTTGAACTCGCACCCTAATCAGAATGTCATTCCCTATGTACAACATAAATTTTGTTAATTTTCTTTAAGAAATAAACAAATAATCACGAAAAAAGGCGTTTTGTCAGCTTTGCCTTACACAAGGCGTTTTTAACAAGAACGCCTTTTTTTAGATGTTCGCTGACAAAACGCCTTTTTTTACAGTCGGTGGCAGAAAAAAAGGCGTTTTGTCAGTTTTGCCCTGAGCAAGGCGTTTTAACAAGAACGCCTTTTTTTTAGTCGCTGGCACCAAAAAAAAAACACTTTAGAAATGTATTTAGCCGTATGCCTTAAAAGTCACAATTGGGAGACAGGAGATGGGGCACAGAATCCCTTTGAAATTTAGATTTGTCGCAGGTAAAAACTGATTTTATTTTCGGAATCAGCGTATTAAAGTTTTATAAGAAAAGTGGG